CATTTATTGCTAGAAAATTCCTCTCAGAACTGCTTTTGTTGCATTGCACAAAATTTGATATGTTGTATTTTCATTTTCATTTGTTTCAAGATAATTTTTTATTTCCCTTTTGATTTCTTCTTTGACCCATTGGTTGTTTAGAAGTGTGTTGTTTAGTTTCTACATATTTGTAGATCTACTCACTTTCCTTGTGTTGTTGATTTCTAATTTCATACCATTGTAGTCAGAGAAGTTAGTTGGTATGATTCAATCTTCTTAAATTTGGTAAGATTTGTTTTGCGGCCTGTCATATGATCTATCCTGGAGAATGTTCTGTGTGCACTTGAGAAGAATGTGTATTCTGCTGCGGTTGGACGGAATGTTCTCTGTAAGTCCTAGAATGTTCTGCCTAAGTCCATTTATTCCAAAGTGTGTTTCAATTCCAATGTTTCCTTGTTGATTTTCTGTCTAAATGATGTATCCATTGCTGATAGTGGGGTATTGAATTCCCCTACTATTATTGTATTATTGTCTATTTCTCCCTTAAGATCTGTTAGTGTTTGCTTAATATATTTTGCTGCTTGGTGTTGAGAACATATATATTTATTATTGTTATATCTTCTTGATGTACTGACTGCTTTATCGTTATATAATGACCTTTTTTGTCTCTTGTTACCCTTTTTGGCTTGAAGTCCATTTTGTCTGATACAAATATGGCTACACCTGCTTTCTTTTGGTCTCTATTGGCTTGGAATATCACCTTCCATTCTTTCACTTTGAGCCTATGTGTGTCTTTAGAACTGAAATGAGTCTTCTGTAAGCAGCATATAGTTGAGTCTTGTTTTTTCATCCATCCAGCCACTCTGTGCCTTTTCACTGATGAGTTCAATCCATTCACATTTAGGGGGATTATTGATATATAAGGATTTACTACTGCCATTTTATCTTTTGTCTTCTGGTTATTTTCTCTTTCCATTGTTTCTTTTTCCTTCTGTTTTTGTCTACGTTGTAAGTTGGTGGTTTTCCATGGTTATGTGCTCAGTCTCCCCTGTTTTATGTTTCATGTCTCTGCTCTAGATTTTTGCTTTATGGTTACCATGAGGTTCACATAAAGTCCTTTTTCTGCTGATAGCAAATTATCTTCTTTTGCCTGTAAGGGTTCCATCCTTTTACTCTTTCCATTTTATATTTTTGATATCTCAAATTATCTTTTTTTATGCTCTGATTTGATTAGTAAGTTGTAGTAGTTATAGTTATTTTTAATGCTCTTTTCCTTTAGCCTTTATACTATAATTAATTGTTTAATATACTATTCTACAAAAGAGTTGCAGTTTTCTAATTCTAGTTGTCTATTCATCACTTTAATCAGAATTTTGTGTACTTTCATCTTTTTGTTTCAGCTTGAAGAGCTCCTTTTAACATTTCTTGTAAGGCAAGTCTTGCGACAGTGAACTCCCTCAGCTTTTGTTTGTCTGGGAAAGCCTGTATTTCTCCTTCACATCTGAAGGATAACTTTGCCTGATAGAGTATTCTTGGTGGGCAATTTTTATCTTTCAATACTTTGATTATGTCATTCTACTCTTTCCTGGCCTGTAGAGTTTCTGCTGAGAAATCTGCTGATAGCATAAAGGGGGTTCCTTTGTAAGTTACTTTGTTTTTTGCCCTGGCTGCCTTTCAAATTCTTTTTTTATCACTGACTTTAGACAGTTTTAATATAATGTGTCTCAGAGAAGGTCTTTTCACGTTGAGATAATAAGGTGTTCTGTTGGTTTCCATTGTGTATCCAGTTCCTTCCCCAGGCTTGGGAGGTTCTCAGCTATTATTTCTTTAAATAAGTCCTCTGCTTGCTTCTCCCTCTCTTCTCCTTCTGGTATACCTATTAATCTTATGTTGGCTTGTTTAATGGAGTCTGACAGTTTTTGTAGGGTTTATTCACTTTTAGAAAATCTTAGTTCTCTCTCCTCTTTCACCTGAATGATTTTTAAATTTCTATCTTCAAGCTCATTTATTCTCTGTTCCATCTAATTTGCTCTATTTCCAATGCTTTCTGGTGCATCCTTCATTTTGTTTATTGAGTTCTTCGGCTCCATAGTTTCTTTTTGGTTCTTTTTTCAGAATTTCCATCTCTTTGGTAATGTACTCCTTCTGTTCATTAATTTTATTCTTGAGATCATTGTATTGTCTTTCTGAGTTTTCTTGTAGCTTGATAAATTTCTTCATAACAGCTATTTTGAATTCTTTATCAATTAGATAGCAATTCTGTGTCTTTGGGTTCAGTTGCTGGAGAATTGTCATTTTCTTTTTGTGATACTGTGATTTCTCATAGTGTTTGATGAAAAATGCCTCTGCTGCTGCATTTGAAATAGCAAACGCCTTTATTATTTAGGTAAGCCTTTGTTTACTTTGATTCTAACAGTTCAACACATTGGTAATTAGGAGCTTTCTTTTGTTTTCCAAAATATGGTGCTATAGCACAAGTTTTTGGTTTGTCTTACCAGAGATTACTCGCCACTCAGGTTGGGAGCATGCACACACACAAAAAACCTGTTGGAGAGAAAAAGGTTCCTATGGTTTTCTTTGTCTACCTTCTTCCCTTTCTTTTCCCTCCCCCCAGTCACTGTGGTCTCTCTTTAAAGAGAGCACTGGGTCTATCCAACTGCAGCACATGTGGCCAGGCAGACCCCCACTCACCTCCTTCACCCTCCATTTTCTCTGCCATATGGTCTTGCTGGCCCACTGCTGGCTCCTGCCATTGCCAGCTCCTGCTGCCACTAGCCTCTACCACCACTTCCCTGGCTCCGCTGCCTCCTCCATAGTCCAATCCACCCACTTTTGGGGGCACAGATGGCTAGGTCTCTCAGTTGTCCTGGTGTGCTGTGTAGTGGCACTTTTGTTTGGTTATGGATGTCTGACTAGTTGTAAATCGAAGGGGAGAAAAAAAAAGGAATGACTCACACTGCTGTGATGCTCACATCACTCCCAGCATTTCTATGAGTTTGAAGCAAAGGGAGTTTATCTTAGCTCAGTCTAGCATGTGTTTGAAACTGGAAGAAAACTCCTGCCTTTGTATCATCAGGTTATAAATATGAAGGAACCAGTTCACTGGACTTTATTAAAAGGCAGATATAGAGAAGACAGCATTAATCACTTAAAATTTTAGCTAAAGGTCATATGTTTTTGCCAATATAGAAAAGGAGAATTTTAATGAATATTTGCATTTAGTGAATAAAAATATTGATATAACTTTACAAAATTTTAACCATTTTCATGAGTGTGCAGTGGAATCATTGTGGTGTTAATTTGCATTTCTCTGATTACTAATCTCATTGAACACATTTTCATATCTTTCTTGGCCTTTTGGAAATCCTTTTTTGTGGTAAGCCTGTTCAGATATTTTGTGCATTTTATAGTGGATTGACTACTTTTTCTTATTGACTTGTAGGAGTTATTTCTATATTTATTTGTTGATTATAGACATTACATATCAGTTCTCCTAGTCTGTGTCTTGCCTTTTCACTCTTAGTGGTATCTTTTTTTTTTTTTTTTTGCTGAGGAAGATTAGCCTTGAGCTAACATCTGTGCCTATCTTTCTCCACTTTATATGTGGGTCACTGCCACAGCATGGCTGACAAGTGGTGTAGGTCTTCACCCAGGATCTGAACCTGTGAATCTGGGCCGCTGAAGTGGAGCATGCCAAACTTAACCACTATGCTGTGGGGCCAGCCCCACTGGTATCTTTTGAAGAATAGCAGTTCTTAATTTTAGTAAAGCCCTAATTTATCACTCTTTTCCTTTGTGTTTACAGTTCTTTGTGTTCTGTTTGGAAAACTTTCCCTACCCCAGAATCATGAAGATATTCTCCTCCATTATCTTTTGGGGGGCTTTTTTGTTTTGTGTTTTACATGCATATCTACAGTCCATCAGGAATCGGTTTTCTTTAATGGTGTGAGGTTTCATTTATTCCCATATATATATTCATTTGACTTTTTACTATTTATGGAAAAGTTCACTCTTTCCCTACTATTCTGTATTATTTTTATCATAAATCAATTGTCCATATATTCATGAAGGTATTTATGAATACATATATATTCATGAATAATACATATTTCTTTATTATTTTCCATTGTTCTCTTTGTATATCCTTGTGTCAGTCTGATGCTATCTTAATTACTATAGTTTTATCATGTTCTGATACCTGTAAAGGAAGCCTTCCCACCTTGTTGCTTACCCATTGTATTTCTATATAAATTTTAGAATCAGCTTGTAAATTTTCATAAAAATTCTGTTTGGATTTTTATTAGAATTGCATTGACTCTATATGTCAATTTTTACAGAAAAGACATCTTTACAGTATGAATTTAACTCCTTGAACATGGTGGATAACTCCATTTAAAAAGTCTTATTTACTTCTCTCAGTGATTATGTTTCCTTATATAGAAGCTATTGAAGACTTTAATATCCTGCTTACATTAGAAATATTTTAATACCTAAGAAAAAACTTTATTCATTTGTTACCTGTATGTGTGTGGTTGTGTGTGTGTGTTTTTGTGAGTGTGTAGTTCCAAATTTGATACAGATTAATTTGTGAATGAGAAAAGTAATTGTAAATGTAAAGTAGCTTTATTCTTACAACTTAAGGTTATTTTGTGAAATATCATACTTTCCACAGAAGTAATTTTGTCACTTTTCATTTCCCTTCAAATTAAAAAAAAAATCATTAGATTTCAAAACACAATTGAAAGTTGTCCTGGTTTGAAATTGAAACCCCCGTCCTGGTTTACCTTAATATATAGTTATAGTAATGTTTAAATATTATTCATAATGTGATACAATTTTATAATACACAAGAATTTTTATGCACCCCAAATATCCATTAGGTCACCTGTAATGTCACTGTTTAAGTAATAGTGTTCTAAAATTTGCAATATTATGATAGGATTATTGTATTCATGGTACAGATAAGAATAATAACGAGACATTTTGCATTTATGTGATGACTTAGATTTTTCTTTCTACAGTTCGAGGCTTTTCCTCAGAAGCAGAATTTGAGAATTACGTTAAGTTTGGAGAGAAGTCTGTTCGTGTGCTGGCTGCTATTGTATTTGATCATGACTTCAAAAACAGCAATGACCCTTTGCCACTTAAGGTGAGAAGATTTTACTAAAGACTTCATAATTATACTTTTAGGTTTTTGGGATTTAATGAGTATAGGTAACATCCCCATTTTATGAATGGGAAAAATTATGACTTGCCCAAGATCATAACTGCTAGTATATAACAGAGCAAGGATTTGAGTGCAGCTCCAACTTATTTTAACACCTGTGCTTTTAACCATTACGTTATAGTAATGAAGAGAAAACTGTATCTGCTACCCTATGGTCTTACAGTCAGAAAATGGAGTAATAAGAACTTTAGTAAGGATATTCACTTTGCCAATTTACCTGGGCAGTCAGATACTTCCAGTCTTGCAAATGGTGGTATAGCTAGGTAAAAAAGATGGGTAGCAATATCTGTTACCTGTTTAAATACCGTCTGGAATTTCAGATAGTGCATATCTATAATATGATATTTAAACTTTTTAATGAGTTAATTTTAAGTGTAAGTGCCATTCTAACTTTGTATGTGTAGTCAAGTTCATAATAAAGCTGTTCTTTTTTTTAACTTGTGAAAGTTAAAAAAACACACACACACACAGACACAAAACCCAACCCATGTCTGGACCTCTTTTTGGCTGAGGCAGCATATTTCCTGGGGCTATAAACTCCAGGAGTTTCTGTACCCTCTTGTTAGGACAGTAAACTTGCTGCTTGTTTGTGCTCTGCTGAATGCCTCCTTTTTTGCACTTTGTGTCATGGTTTAATGTATTGTTTTTATGTATCCAAAGAGGTAATTGCTTTAACTTTTAGAATTCTCTATTCTCACTGTGGTGGCATGAATGGAACCTTCTGTATCCCCACCTATAACTCATTTGGATATCCTTGAAATATTGAAGTTTGATCTTTTAAAAAAAAAGCATATCCATATACATTAGCAGAGATTCCAACATGAAAGACTTCTTTCTTTTGAGTGAATTATGTCATTTCTCTTCTAAATCTCTAGTAACAGCTCTTAGGCTCAGCCAGGTTGCATCAGAATTAGGACATCTGTAGACACTGAGGAAGACTGATAACATACCCCATGGAGGGGAGAAACGGACAGTGTTTTGAACTTGGTAACTTGATGTGTCTCTTTACCAGACGTTATAGACATCTGCTGCCTGGGGTTGAGGAAATGATCAAACTGTAGTATCTATACGTAGAGCCAAATCCTGCATTTAGGATACAAGTGTTTGCCAATGGAAGGAAGGGAAGAGAAAGGAAAATCACTGGCAGACAGTGGATATTCTTTTTTTCTGTCCAGTCTCCTCCTCATTCTTTCCGTATGTGCCTACTTTACGCTAATTACTACCTCAAAAGTATATGCTGTTGCTGATATAGGTTCATTGGTATACATAGAGCCTCTGGCTCAGATATCAAATAACTTTGGTGCAGTTACAAGCTTCATTTCTGTTGTCAATTCACTGTGTCCAGCATTTGGAATGGATTCCTGACAAATTTTTTCCCAAGTTATTTGCCCAGGTACCTGTTCTCTTTTTCCACCATTAACCAAACAAAATTCCTTATCTGTTTTCTGACTTAATGGACAGTCTAAACCTACTCAACCCACCGCTCCTCTTCTGTAGCTTAGCTGATTTTCCTTGGCAAGACTTATCTATCCACATAGGCACAGTCGTCCCTTGGTATCCATGGGAGATTGATTCCAGGATCCCCGTGGATACCAACATCCATGGATGCTCAAGTTCCTTAAAAAAAATGGTGTAGTATTTGCATATAACTTATGCACAACCTCCCGTATACTTTAAATCATATCTGGATTACTTATAATACCTAATACAATGTAAATGCTATGTAAATATTTGTTATACTGTATTGTTTAGGGAATAATGACAAGAAAAAGAGTCTGTACATGTTCAGTCGGCGCAACCATCATGGGCCTTTTGATCCCAGTTAGTTGCAATCTACAGATGCAGAACCCACGGACACAGAGGGCCGGCTGTGCCACAGTGATCTATTAAGAACACAGAAAAGATCAAGTCACTGTGCTGCATAAAAGACTTCAGGGGTTCTCCATTGACTACAGAAGGTTCTTTGCATGGGATACAAGGCTATCAGCAAGCTGTCTTCTGCACCTCTCCAGCCTCACTTTGAATTCTTTCTTTGAAATTTATGCTGTAGCAATACAGACATACCTCATTTTATTGTGATATTGTGTGTTTTACAAGACCCTCCACCAGCGAAAAGATCATGACTTGCTGAGGGCTCAGATTATGGTTAGCATTTTTTAGCAATAAAGTATTTTTTAATTATGAACATTGTTTTTTTAGATGTAATGCTATTGCACACTTGGTAGACTACAGTATAGTGTAAACATAACTTTTATATGCACTGGAAAACCAAAAAACTCTTGTGACTCTATTTGTGATATTTGATTTATTGCAGTCGTCTAGAACTGAACCCGAAATATCTCTGAGGTATGCCTGTATTGAACCAGTCATAGTTCTTTGCATGTACGGTCATATGTCACTTAACTATGGGGCTGTGTTCTGAGAAATGCGTCATTAGGTGATTTTGTTGCTGTGCAAATGTCATAGAATGTACTTACACAAACCTGGATGGTATAGCCTACTACACACCTAGGCTATATGGTACTAATCTTGTGGGACCATTGTCATATATGTGGTCCGTCGTTAACTGAAATGCCATTATACAGTACATGACTGTACTGTGTTATCTCTTGCTTCTCTGCCTTTGATCATGTTATCCTTTCTCCTTTTGATGCTCTCCCTGTCCCTCTTTTTCTTGAGTAACTCTTATTAATTCTGTAAAACTCTTGCTGTGACTACCTATACAAAGTCTCTCCTCTCTTCTTTGCTCCCTTAACACCTTGTGAGTTCCTTGAGGTCAAGGATTGTGTATTAGTAACATTTAAGCATGCTGTAGCTACTCAAAACTTTGTTTTTAAATTACTGAATCATGTGAATGTTTACCTAGACTTAGTGCACTTGCCTGCTCCTTCTCATCTTACTGATTTCTCTGCTCTGCTTCTATTGACCTGTGGCAACTGTCATCTCTTGTCTTGTTAAGCTACTCAGGCCTACCATAACTTACTCTAGAGTTTACTCAGCTCTCTGGATATATCATTATCTTTTCATTTAATACTTAAAATATTCAACATTCCACATTTAAATTTTATCACCCCTATTCTTGCTGTATCTGGGTTTTTTCCTTATGTGTCCTTCACTTTTTTTTTATTGAGGTCACATTGGTTTATAACATTATATAAATTTCAGGTGTACATCATTATATTTCAACTACTCTGTAGACTGCATTGTGTTCACCACCAAAAGTCTAGTTGCCATCTGTCACCATACACATGTGCCCCTTTACCTCCCTCCCTCCCCTCAGCTTCTTCCCCTCTGGTAACCACCAATCTGTTCTTTGTATCTATGTGTTTGTTTATTTATCTTCCACATAGGAGTGAAGTCATATGGTAATTGTCTTTCTCTGTCTGACTTATTTCACTTAGCGTAAGACCTTCAAGTTCCATCCCTGTTGTCAAAAATGGCAAGATTTCATCTTTTTTTAAGGCTGAGTAGTATTCTGTTGTATATATATACCATATCTTTATCCATTCATCTGTTGCTGGGCACTTAGGTTGCTTCCAAGTCTTGGCTATTGTGAATAATGCTGCAGTGAACATAAGGGTGCATATAGCTTTTTGAATTAGTGCTTTCATGTTCTTCAGATAAATGCCCAGAGTGGCATAACTGGATCATACGTCATTTACTTTTTGAAGAGGGAGATAATTTTACTCTACCATAATTGGCTAACATAATGGGAAAGAAAATTAATAGAACTTTTTGATGTTTCACTCAGTAGGCAGGATAGTTGTGGGAGTAGAAAAATACATTCATAATGATCAAGGTACCACTGTTGTGCCTTTGAAGCTCAGAGGCAAAATGCCATGACAGTGAAAGAGGACGGATATAAGTTTAGTCGATTTCAAACTGTGATTGTTTGACTGTGATTCCAACACATGAGGCTCACTACTTGTGTCTTGTGCCAGTGATACTGTCATTTCTCATCATTTAAGATCCTGACTTGCTCACTCTGCCCTCAAAACACAATTTTTAACTTTGTATTTTATTTTCCTTTCACTGCTAACATTTGCTTTTTAGTGTTCATTGGTTTAAAATGTTGTTTGTTTTCTATTGTTCATTCTAGGTAAAATATCATCTGCGTTTTAGTGGTTTCAGTAGTCAGAGTTCTTCAGATAAGTCAGATAACGAAGAAAGACATAGATGGGATACAGCTCTTCTCTTTCCAACAACACCTCATGAAAGACCCAGGAACGAGGGTAAAAGAGATGGTGGAGATCCCGGTGAGAAATCCTTAAGCATACTTATATTATTAATTTGGTTACAAGCTGGCAGTCATATCAACATGTGTGACTTATTTTTGTTTCAACATGTGAGAAAGTTGTTTATTCATTAATCATGGCAGTAAATTTTTTAAATTTAGTTTTTATTGTAGAAATAAGCGTATAGAAAACTTTATACCTTTGAAAAATGTCTTTATATTACCTTAGATCATTTCCTGAACTTTACCAGTGTATATCCATGCATTTGTATAGGCTTAGTTGGTAAATGTTGGCTCTACTGACTTAATAGTCACATCTCTATATGTTAACATTGTCTGTATACTTATGGTTCTAAATTATTCTTTTGAATTGATAAATGATTTTAAATTATGCAATGGTGATTTTTAAATTCTTTTTTTAACTGTATAGATTACCTTGAAGGAAAAAAAACAATAAGGGCTTTGAATTAACTAGTAATCCTGAGAATTTATCTTTAGGAAATCATTCAACAGAAGACAAATGCTATATGCAATTTACCATTACCAATAAAAATTGGAAATAATAAAAATAGTCTATAAGAACTGCATGGTTAAGAATATGATGATATATCAGTTTGACAGACTATTGTGTAGTGATTAAAGATAATCATTATCAGGCCTGATAAATGTAAAACTATGTATGTAGAATTATGGCTATAGAAAATATATATGGATCTGTACAAAGATTGGGTTGCCGTCTGAAAATGAAAATAGTTAAATTAGAGTGGTGGAATTGTGTGGTGTTTTGTCATTTTATCAAAAACGTTTTGAACATTTTACCATCTGGCCTCTTTTAAAATTAGTGTGCTGCATCCTAAATGTAGTTTATGAGAATAAGTTAATTGAAAATAGTATTATCTTTATGGAAAAAGAGTGGTTTAAAACCAAAAAGAAGAGTTGGTCACATAAAAATACTTGAATGGAATTTATTCCTGGAGGGAGATTTTTCTTTGAAAAGACCATGTCCTATAAAACAAGAAAGAAGATAATTATGCAAATTCCAACTATCGAATGACACTGTGTAGCAAATTAATATTAAAAAATTTGGTATGAAGAGACACTCTCTTTGGTAAGTGGCTTTATAGTGTAGTGACTGGGAGTCAGGTGACTTGATATTTTTTCCTCAGACTATGTTAATTATTAACTTTATGATCTTAAACCCTCTTAGTCAAGTTTCTTCACCTGAAAAATGAATGTTTGGACTAGGTCACCCGTTAGGTCCCTTTCAACACTAAAATTCTATGATATTAATTATTAGGACTTTGGCCAATTAAATCAGCTGAGATAGGTGGTGGGAGAGAAGATCAGAATTAGTTCAGTGAAGTTTAAAAGTGAGATTCTTTTTTATTGTAGTAAGAACACTTAACATGAGATCTTAATTTTTTAAGTGCACGATACAGTATTGTTAACGATAGGCACATTGTTTTGCAACAGAGCTCTAGAACTTTTTAATCTTGCAAAACTGAAACTCTATATCCATTAAACCACTGATTTTTCCCTCCCTTCATCCCCTGGAAACCACCATTCTACTTTCTGTTTCTATGAATATGACTACTTTAGATACCTAATTTAAGTGGAATCATGCATTTTTTGTCTTTTTGTGCATAATGTCTTCAAGATTGATCCATATTGTAGCGTATAACAGGATTTCCTACTTTTTTTTAAGGCTGAATAATATTCCACTGTATCTATATACCACATTTTGTTTATCCATTCATCCATCGAAGGACATTTAGGTTGCTTTCACCTCTTGGCTATTGTGAATTATGCTGCAATGAACATAGGAGTGCAAATATATCTCTTTTAGATTCTATTTTCAGTTCTTTTGGATATATACCAAGAAGTGGGATTGCTGGATCATATGGTAATTATTTTTAATATTTTGAGAAACCTCCACACTGTTCTCCATTGCATGTGTACCATTTTATAGTCCCACCAACAGTGCACAAGGATTCCAGTTTCTTTATATCCTCACAAACACTTGTTATTTTCTGTTTTTTTGGTGGTGGCCATTCTAACAGGTGTGAGGTGATATCTCATTGTGGGTTTGATATCCATTTCCCTGATGATTAGTGAAGTTGAGCATTCTTTCATGTGCTTTTTGGCCATTGGTATATTTTCTTTGGAGAAATGTATGTTCAAGACTTATGCTTTTTTTTTTTTTTTGTG